CTTTCATTTTGGCTTTCTAATTCCAGGTCTTGGCATATTTCGTTATAATACTTTACTTTGTCTTTCAAGCTGCCCTCTGAAATCTTCTGTTTAGCTCTTTTATTCCATCACTTCTTTTCACTTTAGTTACTCTCTGATAAAGAGCAAGTTTTGGTCCCTTCTGACATCCATTTTGGTCTTTTCTTCTTTTCCTGTCTTTTTAATGAGCTTTTGCTTTCTTCATGTATAATGTCCTTGATGTCAATCCACAACTTGTCTGGTCTCTGATCATTGGTGTTCAATGCATCAAATCTTTTCTTCAGATGGTCTTTAAATTCAGGTAGGATATAATCGTCATATTTTGACTCTAATGGATTCATTTTAATTTTCTTCAGGTTCAACTTGAACTTGCACACAAACGTTTTCTTGCACTTCAGCTTAGGTACAATAAATAGCTTTTGGCACTCTTCATCATCATTGCGTATTTCTTAAAATCACTTCCTTTCTTGGCTTCTCCTGATTTTGTGTCTACCCCTTAGATTATTCTCTTACAGTATTTTTTGCTGCTTTGTTTCCTTCTGTTAATTCTCTTAAGTCAAAGGACTTAAGCAAACTTAAAGCAAACTGCAGATACGAGAATGACCCAAATTTGGTTTTTGTAAAAAAACATTTTGGTACAATGTTTAAAAATTTTTAAAAGGATTAATTAATATATAACGTGCAGTGTGTAGTTTGGCACAGGCCCCATCACTCCCTAATTGTAGTCCAGCTTAACCCATTTCTCTACCTACCTGGACCCTCCCGAGTTATTCACCTCTGCTCAAAGTGTTGGGGATGTACTTGGTTCTCATAAAGATCCAGTGTTTAAATACATCTATGTATTGATGACTTCTAAATTTTCTTTTTTAATGTCATTTGGGTGAAAGTTTCCTAAGGAAATTGGTTTTCCATTCAGGAATTCTTACACATTTTGTTTTTTGACATTCATTGCAGCCCCCACCATATTACAGCACTCTTCCCACTTTCTCCCTGTGTTTACCATTTCCTTTTTATCCTTTTTTTCTGTTTCTTCTAAACTTCTTTTATCCCTGGGCAAATCCTTCCCTTTTGATCTCATATGGTTGATTAATCTTATGTGTGCATACCTTCCTGGTATTATTGTTCATCGTACAGGCTTGTCTGTCATTTAGCTGAAAGTTGAGCCAGGGGGGTTAAGTTTGGTTACAGTCCTGAAAGATATCCATGCCATAATCTCAGGGATTCCACCAGTCTCTATTAGATCAGTGAGCCTGGTCTTTTTTATGATTTTGAGTTTTGTTCCATATTTTTCTTCCACTCTTTTGTGATCCCTTTCAGAGAAGTCAGCTGTAATAGTGGGGTGTGATCTAGTTCTTCTGGTCTCAGGGTTGTAGAGGCTGGGGTTCACGTTGTCCGTTAGACTTTTGGGAGAATTATTTCCTTACATTTTTTATTTTGTTTATTCTTCTTTGCTCTGAATGGTGAGAGACCAATAATTGTACTTTACATGGCCTCTCACTAGCTTTTAAGACCTCAGTCACTACTCATCAAAGTAGAGTGTAAGACGTTGTCTTTGTGGACTGTGTTATGCCAATTGACCTTAGTGTCCCCTGAGACTATGGGTCTGAGCCACCATGCCTAGCAACTCATTCCCTAAAGGTATTTGGTTATGACTAAGAAGTTTTCGTGACTCTGACCCCTGTATGCTCCACTATAGTCATTTATATATTTGTAATACATGGACATATGTATGTAGAAATGTCCTGTTTCAAACCTATATATATTTGTGCGTGTAGACCCATTCATTTTCCCATTCCTTTTCAGCTTGAATAACTATCTATCCACTTGTAAATTATCATTACTACTGTTATTGCAGGATTATGTATATAATAGTATTCACCTTTGTTGCCGTTAACTCTTGTGTTCCTCCCTCTGATTTCCTCTGCCTTGTTTATTTTGTGCTGACCTCCCTCTTATTATATCTTGCCTTTCCCTTCACCCAAGTTAATATGTACCTACTCTCTAGTGATTTCCCTTTCCTCTCTCATCACTGGTAACCTTTAAAGAATGATTCTTTCTCTGTGTAAACCTTTTCTTGACTTTCACAGTAGTGGTCTCATACAATATTTGTCCTTCTGTGAGATGACTTCCAGATTCACATCTCTAACTTTTAGTGTCTGTCAAAATTTGATTATATAGTTGATTCTCGTTATTCTTGAACGCTGTATTTATGAATTTGCATACTTGATAAAATTTGTTAGGAACTGTAAAATCTCCACTTGCATTGTACTGTTGTAGTCATTCGCAGATATGTGCAAAGTGGTGAAAAATTCGAGTTGCCCAGTGTACACATTACCAGCTGAGATCAGAAAAGGTATGCTGTGCCTTTTTCGTGCTGTCATAAATGTAAACAAGTTCTTTTTTTCTGTCTATTTAGTGCCATGTGCCCCCCCCCCCATTTTTGTGCTTTTTATTGGTAATTATGTGGTTTAAATAACCTGTAAGCATAGAGCTGAAATGGTGTCTATTCTTAAGTACAAGAAGGCTGTGATGTACTTTCTGGAGAAAACGTGTGGTAAGTTTCATTTAGATATGAATCATGGTGCTGTTGGTTGTGAGGTCAGTGTTACTGAATCAAGAATGTATGTTAAATAAAGTGTCTTTAAACAAATACTTATAAAACAAAGTTATGTATTGCTTGGTTGACAAAAATGTTGTGATCAGAGGCTCACGAGAACCTAAATATATTTCCCATAGGGCAATTCAGTGTTTGCTTCAACTTTATATAGAGCATAACTACTGTGACTAATGAGAATTTACCATATTTATTCAACTGCTTATTTGTCATTCTTAGTCACATTGTAGACAATATTGAACAATTTGAGAGTTTTTGAATCATAATTGAAATGGCATAATAAGAATCTTTGTGTAGTAGAAGTATAGCAGTATAACATAATGCAGTGAAAAGACAATGTACAGAGTGGGAAAAAATATTTGGAAAGCAGGTGTGTGATAAGGGTTTATTATCCAGCATATATAGAGAATTCATACAGCTCAAAAACAGACAAATAGCACAATTTAAAAATGGGCAAAGGACTTGAATAGACATTTTATCACAGAAGATGTAGAAATGGCCAATAAGCACATGAAAAGATGTTCAGCATTATTAGTCATTATAGAAATTTAAATTTAAATCGCAATGAGATGCCAGGTTGGTTATTTAAAAATAGAAAAACAATAGAAAATAATAGTTGTTAGTGTAGATGGAGGAAAATAGGAACATTTCCATTGCTGATGGGAATGTAAAATGGTGCAGGCATGATGGAAAACATTTTGGCAGTTCCTCAAAAAGTTATACATAGAATTAGTATATGAACCAGCATTTCCACTCCTAGATATATTCTCCAAAGGTCAAAAGTAGGAAAGCAAGCATACACGTATGTACCAATTTTCATTGCAGCAATATTCACAATAGCCAAAAGGTGGAAACAATCCAAGTGTCCATCAGCAGATGAATAGGTAAATGTGGTATATCCATACAGTGAAATATTATTCAGCCATAAATGCTATGATATGTATTAACTTTGAAAACTTTGTACTAAGTGAAATATATACAGAAAGAGAAAGAATGTTGAACAGAAGCTATTTATTTTATGATGAGAAATTATAAGAGTATTTGTGCATTGGGAAGAGAATGAGTCAGTGGAGAAGGAGAAATGGATGAAAGAAAGGGGGGGAGAATTACATATACCAAGGAAATAATTAGGGGGAAAAATGGAGTGAAATTAGAAAGATTTTGGTAAATAGATTTAAAAGTCACAAAGTGGAAATCTGGGTAGATAATGGGATTGCTATCTTCTGCCATACGCTTCTTGAAGTAGAGAAGGTCATAAGTTGAAAACAAGGAAGGTAGAGTTTGGTAATTTTGAGGACAGCAGGCATGAAGTAGTCATTCAGACAATCAACTCAGAAGGAAAATGTAATAGGATTTCCAGGCAATGCTGAGTGCCCTTAAATTTTAATGTCATCATTTTAAAGGAAACTAGTCAGTTGGATGTTTGATTTCTCCACCAGTGTGCTGCTGCTTGAATTCAGGCAAGGATAAGATTGAACCAGAGCTGGGGTTTTGCCAGGCAAATAGGATAGTGGGAGAAAAAGGCAAGAAAATTAAGGATGTTTGTAAAGCAATGATTATAAGGATGTCTATAAACTTTCAGAGGGCTAAAGGAGGAAACACACGTAAGAAAAGAATGATGGAAAATATAAACCTGATAGAATTAGTTATCCTTATGATTTTAAAGAATTATTGAAGTGTTCGAGTAAGTAATGTGTGGAGGTCAGAGGATGAGCAGGAGAATAAATGAATCAGTATGTTATCAATACACCCACTCCTCACTTATTGCCATGATTAGGTTTCAGAGACCATGTATTTGTGCAGAAATGGAGGATGACCACATCAGATCTCAAAATAGAAGATGAGTACATCATTACATGGCTGCCAAATTTCATCGTTACATTATTGTCAATTTTCATCATTACATAACTGCTAAACCGCTGAGAATCATGGCCTAGCCAAGTTGATACAGACCCTTAACCATTTACAACCAGTGTTATGCTCACTTTGTACCTTGACATTCATTACTTTTGCCAGATACATGTCATTAATGCCAAAATAGTTGGATAATAGGTTTTTTCTATTGTTGTAAATACGAAATGTTGAATAATAAAATAGTCGATAAGTGAGGAACATGTATAGCGAGTAATAAACTATTGAGCCCTAGGCTGAAAAGAACCATGGGTCAAAGGGCTGATAGTGAGTTTCAAAATAACTGGAATTGTATGTTGTGAGAAACACAAAAGTAATGTGTTTATTTTTTCCCAAACTTGGATGAGAATGTGGTTAAATAGGAATCTGTATGTACTTGAGTGGACATTTTAATCTAAATATATATGGTTACTCAGTTAATGACATAGCATGTTTCTCTTCAAAATTATTGTTTTAGAAAACGGAATCTTGGCATTGTCTTCCTCAAGAAATGGACTTTTCTCAAACATTGGATACATCCCAGACCAGGTTTAATGTGAGAGAGGAAGGGGCTGAAGTAACAGACTTCCCCTCTCTGGAGGAAGGTGTATTGACCCAATCAGAAAATCAAGTAAAGGAACACAACAGAGATTTCTTATGTTCTCCATTGATAGGTAATGCCTCTTTATTTTAAACTAGTAGTAATATCTCATATTTGTAAAACAGCTTCAATTAATTGAAACTCCTATAACTAAATCCTTTGTTGAGTTAGAGGCGCTCTGTAGAGCTCTACTCAAAGGTTGATAACTTAATTCTGTTTTGTTTTTTTTTTTTGCACTGGCCAGCTCCTCTAGTTATGTTAAATGTGAAGGTACCCCTCATTTTATCACATCCTTTTGCTCACAGAAGGCAGATAATGTGTCACTTTTCTCTCTAGTGAGTACACTTCTCCAGTGCCAAATTTGTGTTGTTCTTCTTGGGATAAGCCATATATTATCCTTTGATTATTTCCCTCAATAACTGAGACTCCATAATCCCTAAAAACCAAACATTCATGCTTATTCCATTTATTTCTTAGAATTAATGTAACATATATTATTTTCTTTAGCTTTGAGTCCCAAAAATTGATAGAGAGGCCAAGGACCTTGTTTGAGGTAGATTATATTGCTTTCCTCTGTTTGATATAGAATTGATGTGCTAGTTCTTTGTAGGAGATATTTTAGAACCTTTCAAATTAATAAGTTAGGAGATAGATCTATAATAGGACTATTTTGGATCATTGACGATATATAAGAATGCTTAACTAATATAATTAAATTTTCCCATGCCTAAATCATAGTTCCGAAAAATATTGCTCTGTCCTTTTTTAAAAAGTGAAATACAACAACTAGAATTTTCTATATAATGCTAGAAATGTTTATAAAAGACTGCTGCTCTGATAATGGGTAATGAAAATTAAACATAATTATGTGTTTATCAGTTTTAAGATTAAACTTTCATTTTTTAAATATTTCTCTAAAACTATACATAGCTATCCTTTATCTTGATTATTGCTTGAATTACTAAAACTTTTACTTTTAGTTATAATATCTGATTAATATATTATTGAGTAATTTTTTAAATAGAAGAACATTTCCTTGTATACGTTTTAAGGAATCCTTTGTTTGTAAATTAAAATTATCTTGAGGATAAAAATTTTAGGTTTATGTTTTTTAAAAGATAAGAACAAACTGAAAACTAGAGATTAGAAACAATACCAAATCATTTTATTTCCAATGAAATTTAAGATTTTACTATGAATTCTAACTTCTTAATATTCTATTAGCCTTAAATTCCAGAATCACTGATTGGCTCAGTGGGAGTGTTTTAAAGGAAGGGAGGTTCTGATTGGATAATTAGGATTAGCCTTTTTTAAGGGAGCAGGGATTCCACTGTGAAGATTGTCTTGCCAGAGTTTTGTAGGGAAGCTTGAATAGAATTTATTCAACATTTTTTTTCTCCCAAATGTAAGCTAATGCTATCCAAATAAAAATATCAGTGACAATCTATTCTATGATGTAGATCATTAAAATTCATTTCATTTCTAAATTTTAAGAAAAATGTTGACAATGAGAGTATCCTTGCGGGAGGAGATGATGATGATAGTAGGTGAAAGAGTGTGGGAGTCCATCCTTTGAGAAGAGGTTAATCAGATATATGAAGGGCTGTCATGCTAAAGAGGAAATAATTTATTTTCCATTCATTCATTCATTCATTCAACAGATACCTAAGTATCTACTTTGTGTTTGAGGAGCTCTGGTGGTGTAGTGATTAAAACATTGGGCTGATAACCAAAAGGTCAGAGATTCGAACCCATCAACCACTCCACGGGAGAAAGATGAGGCAGTCTGCTTCTGTAAGAAATACAGCTTTGAATACCCTATGGGGCAGTTCTTCTTTATCCTCTAAGGTCACTATGAGTTGGAATTGACTCGATGGTAGTGGGTTTTTAGTGGGTACTAAAATTGTTCAATTGTGATGGGGGAAGGTGCAGCGTATGTATGTGACAGCATTAAGAGTATTTTGGCACATGAAGTGAAGGGCAGGTGACACGATGGTAAACTCTAGGAACCCTAAGCTTGCAATGGTTTCCTAGAGAAGAGTGGTGAAACAGTGGATTCTTCACTTTGTGTATATTAATAGTCATTTGAAACTCAAGAAACTATAGTCAGCAATGAATATTCATGTTGAAAAAACAATTTAGATTTGTAAAACATCACTCATTAGTTAAGTTAGTATCCACTAAAAACCCACTCTTTGATGCTGGAAATATATAGGTAAAAGCTGTCCCCTCTTTGGGGAAGACAATATTCAAGCAACATTCTGTAAGAGATGTTACAGAAGGGTTTTCAGCACTGGTCATGGAATTGTACTATGCAGTTTTTAATATGTTTTTTTATATAAACTTTATGACTCCAGGTTGTCATTTATTATAGATTAAGTCCATCTGATAGCTAAAGGAAATTCATTATTACTTTTTTATTCCTAAATACTGTTACTGTAGTATGTAGACTGTTAACCAATGGCAAATGTCATTGATGATAACCAGTACCAGAATGGTTAGATTTATCAAGAAAAAGGGATCCAAAACATCAACAGCTATCCAGTTGTAAAGAAATAAGCAGCCAAAAACTGTAAGAAAATGGCATTGCCAGTAAGAGATACAACTTTCTGATCCCAACACACACACAAACACACTTACTCTCTTTCTTATTCTCTCTCTAACTCTTTAATTTTGGGCCTGCTTATATAGCAAGTCTCTTTTTCAATTTATCTGGCATAACTCCCCCAACTCCACCCTGAAATATTTTTAAATATTACAAAGATGCTGAGATGCTGCTTATTACTTATTATTCCTTAGTAATAGGAGTTATTTTAAGTAACCTGGATTTTCCTCATCTATAGATCTTGGTGTTAGTGATAAACTTAAAAAAAAAAAAAAAAAAAGACAAGACTCAGGTACTCTAAATGCTCAGTTTATGGTAATTGGAAGCAGTAAGTCTGCTACACTTGCCCAGAGTGCAGGTAGCCTTAGTATTTTTGAGGACATTGTAAAAAAACCCTTCATAATTCTTAGAGCGTTGAAGGACTTTTTTTTAAATGAAGATTTAAGACTGATTCTCTAAGCCAGGCCAAAGAAGAACCATATCAGTTTGTCCTTCGTGGTAAAGGTTATTAATTTCTATTAGTGTCTCATTTTTAATTAATTAATTCAATAAATTGTTGTTGTTATGTGCCGTCGAGTCGGACCTGACTCATAGTGACCCCTCCTTGGGTTTCTGAGGTGATGTCACTACAGAAGTAGATTGTCCAACCTTTCTTCCGAGGAGTGGCTGGTGGGTTTGAACCTCCAGCCTTCTGGTTTCCAGTCACGTGCCTTAGGCACTATGCTACCAGAGCTTCTATTTATTTTTCAGTAATTCCAGTTTGAGTGGTAAGTATGCTAAGTACTTTGGCATAGGTATTGAGGATGCACAAGTAAATAAACCAGACATAGTATTGATGAACTTGGTGGGAGGCAGACAGAAAAGGTTAAAACAAGAGTGAGTCGAATTGTGATGGGGGAAGGTGCAGAGTATGTATGTGACAGCAGTAACAGTGTTTTGACACATGAAGTGAAGGGCAGGTGACATGATGGTAAACGCTAGGAACCCTAGGTTTCCAATAGTTTCCTAGAGAAGGGTGGTGAGAGAGTAGAGTCTTCACTTTGTATATAGTAGTATGTTGTTGTTGTTATGTGCCATCAAGTCATCCCCGCCTCATAGCGATCCCTCCTTGGGTTTCCGAGGCAGTATCACTACAGAAATAGATTGCCCAACCTTCCTTCTGAGGAGTGGCTGGTGGGTTTGAACCACCAACCTTCTGGTTAGTAGTCAAGTGCCTTAGGCATTATGCTACCATAGCTCCTATATAGTAGTATAGTCATTTCAAACTCAAGAAATTATAGTGTAGCAATGAATATTCATATTGAAAAAACAATTTAGTTTTATAAAATATCATCCATTAGTTAAATTTAATTAGAATGATGTTGGTTTTATTGTTTTGTTTCTATTAATGTTTAATTTGTTTAATTTTATAGTTGTATCAGTGCTATCAGGAATAGGGAATTTATACCTAATTTGTATGTATGTAAGGGAATTAAGAATTATTTAAGTCAACAGTCAGGAATCTGTAAGAATTTCTTTTTTTTTCCCCCTTTGAAACAGTAGTTCTTAAACCTTTGGCCACAGAGCCCCTTTAAACACTTAAAAATTACTGAGCCCTCCAAAGAACTATTGTTTATGTGGTTTGTATCTTGTATTGATAATTTCTCATTGGAAATTTAAATTGAGGAATTCAAAAATATTAATTTTAAAATGATAACAGTTCTGTTACATGTTAGGCTTAAATAACATAGTTTTATTAAAAAATAACTTTTCCAAAACAAAAAAAAATTTAGTGAGAAGAATAGCATTGTTTTACTTTTTCAAACAATTTGTTAATAAAAAAAAGGTATTGTAATGACTGACTTAATAGAAGATAGGTAGATTCTCATAAATGTTTCTTCATCCAAACTGTTGCTAAAGCACTGCTTGAACAATTTCTCTTAGAAAGATCAGCACAAGGCTGGTCCCTATGGTGTGGAGGTTAAAGATGTCCCAAGTGTCCAAACTACCGTGCCACTCCATCATTTCAGACATTAACTCCTCCTCCTCCCAGCAATCTCCCCCATCTTAGGGTTCTGTATTTTGCTATAACGCCCCACAGAACTCACAGACACCCAAGGGATCATCTCACGTAGTAGTGGTAGAGGCTGGCAAGCTGGCAAGTTCCAGGTCTATGAGTGGGTCTGGAGGATCCTCCCAATTTTCAGGGTTTGATGAACCTCGATCAGCAGATCAGATGATGGCTGCTGTCCCAAACCCAGAAGTGAGATGAGCATGAGCCAAAACACAGAAGCAGAGCGAGAGGAGGGTGAACCTTCCCAGGAGATTCGTAGGTATACCCTCAAGGAACTAAGGGTAGTGGTTTGAGTTATACCCTCCAGCAAGGCAGGACTCAAGATACATTCCACCTGTGTTACTCCCAACAGAAGTAACCCAAGTTGATGGGTTCAGTAGCTACTCACTCAAGGGAAATCCTACCACAGAGCCGATTACCAGTCATTATAGGGAGTGACTACTACGAGCTACCCAGCCAAGTTGACACCCAACTTTAGCTACCACACCACCCCAAATAGGCATGAATAATAGGATTTACAATACATCACCAAATGGAGGACAATGGCTAGAAGGGCCACATCAAGCAATTAACTGCAAGCACTCATCATGTAACTTCAGGAAAATTTTTACCATGCTCTCATGAGAGAATATGAGTGAATAAGGTGAAGACCTCTTAATATTGAGTATCGTTTTGATCCTACACACTCCTTCACAGTACTTAGAAATGCCCAAGGATTCCTGGATGACATTTGATATAAGCAGTGTGGTTTCTTTCCATTACTTAAGATTGAAAGAAATACTCATAATGATCGAGAACTAAAATTTAGCCAGAGATTTTAAGTTCAGATTTCACCCTGGCACTGAATGTGGACAAATTACTTAACCTTTCTTAACTTTTGTCATCTGGTTCCTCATCATAATACCTATCCTTTAAGATTGTTATGAACTTTAAACGAAATATTGTAGGTTAAGGCTTGAACCTTAGTAGGCATTCAATAAATGGTAGGTAGTGCTACTGCTGTTGTTGTATTATTCCATTGCTTGTAGAAACTTCCAGAGGGCAACATATTTAGTTTCTTTAAAGTATTATTTGAGTAAGTTAAACAGTTTTCAGCATCACCCAATATTTTTATATTTGAAACTTTGCAGTCATACAAGACAGCTTTGTTTCTCCTGATTTGCCTTTGCTGACTTGCCTGACACAGGATCAAGAGTTTGGACCTGATTCCCTATTTCACCAAAGTGAACTAGATTTTGCACCTCTGAGGTAAAATGATTTATTTTTTTATTTGCATATAACCTTTCTACTCTTTCTTTTCTTATTCTAAATTGTTACTAATATTAATGACTTCAGGCTTAGGTGGGATGTTGGGGTAGGGGTTAGATAGTCTCAGCATACATGCTGAAGATAATTAAGGCCCTCAGTTAAGACATAATGTGTATTAATGTGCCACAGTAACATATGTGTAGAAATGACCTGGATGACTAGTTTATTTTTAAATAATTCAAACTATTATCCTCTAGAATACTCATAATGGGAGATAAATCTGGAATTCTTGAAACCATTTTTGGAGTTATCTAAGAACATACATTTTCCTCTTAGAACTGAAAAGAAAGCAAAAATCCTTCAATGAAAAACTATAGATGTTTAGAAAGCAAAAAGTTAATCTGTACCCTTTCTCCTGTGTTTTACTTTATAATCAGTGAAGTGGTCTATACACATTAGATATTCAACCAGTTAAAGTTATTGTTATATTTTGGAAGTAGAGCTCTTCTTGAATAGTTTTCAATAATAGATGGTCAATAATAAAAGAATTAAAAAAGAAAAAAAAAAAAAAAAACTCACTGCCATTGAGTCGATTCTGACTCAGGGACTCCCTTTGAATTTCTTTTCTTTTTTTTTAATTGTGATTTGGGTGAAGATTTACAGAGCAGTTTCACTTTCCATACAGCAGTTCACATATGCTTTGTCTCATGTCATTGACCACAGTTCACAATGCAACAGCTCCCCTCCCACTTCCTCCCCATAGTTACCCCCTTCTCAGTGTCCATCCCTCCATGCACTCCTGCCCCCTGAGCTTTCTCCCTGTGCATAAGCAGCCCTTCTTTCTCCCATGATTGTTCTCTCCAAGGAGTGTATCTACCTGACGTAAATGTTCAACTCATATGCCTGTCTTTTGTTTGGCTGGAAACCATAGTGTGGGTTCAATTCCAGACCTGAAGGGCAGCTAGGGGCATAGACTCAGTGTTCCACCAGGCTCTATCAGAACAGCAAACCTGGTCCCCCCCCCCCCTTTTTTTTTTTTCCCTTTTTTTTTTTTCTCCAAATGATTTTGAGTTTTGTTCCACATTGTTCTCCTTCTCTATCCAGGATCCTCTACATAGATTCCCTTCCAAGTAGATGACAGTGGTAGCGGGCATCATCTAGTTCTTCTGGTCTCATAGTCATATAGGCTGCAGATCAGATGGTGTACCAGTCGCTAGGACTAATTGTTTCCATGAATCTTTGGTTTTCTTCATTCTTCTTTGCTTTGGATGAGGAGAGACCCATTGTTGTATCTAGATGGCAGCTTGCTAGCTTTTAAGGTACCAGTTGCTACTCGCCAAAATAGGAGGTGGAACAACATTTTGTATAGTATGTTATGCCAGTTGAGCTTGATGTCCCCTGCGACTATGGTCCCATGCCCACAGGTTCAAGTACTCGGTCCCTCTGGGTAGCTGGCTGTGACCAAGCAGTGACCACAAC